AGGTCTTTTCCATGAGGTAAGGGAGTCCAAAACTAGAGGGTACAGGTTCAAGGCGAGAGGGGAAAAATTTAGAAGTGACCTAAGGGGAAACTTTTTTCACGCAGAGTGTGGTGTATGTATGGAATGAGTTGTCAGAGGAAGTGATGGAGACTAGTACAGTTACAGCATTTAAAGGCCATCTGAATGGGTATATGAATAGGAAGGGCTTAGCGGGATATGGGCCAAATGTTGGCAAATGGGTCTAGATTTATGTTAGGATATCTGGTTGGCATGGATAAGTTGGACCGAAGGGTCTATTTTCTGTGCTGTATATCTCTATGACTCCAAGTGTGAGGTGATGCATTTTAGGAGGTCAAATGCAAAGGGAAAGTATACAGTAAATTGCAGGACCATAGGAACATTGATATACAGAGGGATCTTGGAGTGCAAGTTCCTGAAAGTGTTAACACGTGTGGTAAAGAAGGTGTATGACTTGCTTGCCTTCATCGTTTGGGGCATTCAATACTGCACGTCACATTGCAGCTGTATAAAACTGTAGTTAGGCCATATTTGGAGTATTGTTTGCAGTTCTGGTCACCACGCTAAGGGAAAGATGTGGAGGTTTTGGAGAGGGTGTAAAAGAGGTTTATCACCTTGTTGCCTGGATTGGAGTGTATTAGCTTTAAGGAGAGGTTGGACAATCTTGGATTGTTTTCGATACAGTGTCAGAGTCTGAGGGACAATCTGATAGAAGTGTATTAAATAGTGAGAGGCATGGATAAGGTGGATAGTTGGAATCTTTTCCCAGGGTGGCAATGTGAAATACTAGGGGACATAAGTTTAAGGAGAGAGGTGTAAAGTTTAAAGGAGGTCTGTGAGGAACATTTTTAACACAGAGGGTGGTAGGTGACTGGAATGCACAGCCAGCAGAGGTGGTAGAAGCGGATATGATAGCAACATTTAAGAGACATTTTGACAGACACATGAATAGGCAGGGAATAGACGGACGCAGACCATGTGCAGGTAGATGGGATTAGTTTAGAATGGCATCGTGGTCAGCATATGGTGGGCCAAAGGGCCAAGTCCTGCGCCGTACTCTTCTATGTTATGTTTGATGTAAAGCATCGAATGTTGGCATTCATTGCAAAGGGATTGAAGTACAGAAATAAATATGTCATGCTGTGGTTGTACATAGCTGTAACATTGTGTACAAATTTCATCTCTTTTATTTAAGGAAGAATATGCTTGCCAAAGAGGGGGTACAATGGAGATTCACCAGATTATTTCCTGGGTTGACATGATTATGTTATGAAGAGAGAATGTGGAAACTGGGTCTTTACATTCTGGTGCTTAAAAGATCAGATATCTCATTAAAGCTTACAAGATCTTGTATGGGGCATGCCAAATGGAAATAGATAGGATGTTTCCCTGGTTTATGACTCTAGAACCAGAGGAACAATCTCAGGAAAAGGGGCAGACCATTTAAGATTGAGTTGAGGAGGAATTCTTCACTCAGACGGTGGCGAATCTTTGGAATTCTCTGCCCCAGAGGCTGTGCAATCTCAATCATTGAACAGGTTCAAGACAGAAATTTATAGATTTCTGGAGACCACTGACATTGAGGGATATGACAATAGTGCTGGAAAGTGACATTGACAAGATGATCAGCTATGATCTAGAATGGTGGGGCAGACTTGATGGACCTAATGATATAAGCTTATTCATATGTCCCTATGTGGTACATAAACCTGAACAGAGATAATTGTTAACAGTATTAGCTTGCATGGGAGCAGGAAGGGAAGTTGGGTAAGCAGTAAAAAACGAGAATAGGATTGAAAGTACAGGAAGAGATGTCATGGACAAGATGAGGGCAGAGATGCCCTAAGGAGAGAAGATCATAGAATCCCTACAGTGTGGAAACAGGCCATTTGGCCTGACAAGTCCACACCACCCTTCCGAAGAGCATCCCACCCAGACCCATTCCTCTACCCTTTCACTGTAACCCGGCAGTTCCTATGTCTAATCCATCTAATTTATGGGCAATTTAGCACGGCCAATCCACCTAGCCTGCACGGCTTTGGACTGGAGGAGGAAACCAGAGCACCCGCAGGAAACCATGCAGACATGGGGAGAATGTGCAACTCCACACAGACAATCGCCCGAGGGTGGATTCGAACCCAGGTCCCCGACACTGTGAGGCAGCAGTCCTAGCCACTGTGCCGCCCATAAAATGTTTGGTGGCTCCCTGGTGGGGAATTGAACACCAGTCTCCCGCATGACAGGCGGGGATATTAACCACTATACTACCGAAGACTTGGAGGATGCAAAACTAGAGACGGACTCAAAAACATGAAAAAGGGCAGTCAACCATAACTGATGAAGCAAGTTCAACATTGTATAAGGTTTTAAAAAAAGGCTTATAAAGTAGCCAGAATTAGCTGTAACTCTGAGAATGAGCAAGTTTTTAGAACACAGAAAAGGAGGAGGACCAAGAAACTGATAAGGAAAGGAAGAATAGAATACGAATGCAATCCATCAAAAAACATAAAATAGGCAGTGAAATCTTCTACAGGTACATAAAATGAAATTCTTTTGTTCAGACAAATGTGGGCCATTATAAGCAGAGTCAAGAGAGGTTATAATGAGGAATAGAGGAAAAGCAGAGAAGGTAAATGATTATTTTGTGGCTGTTTTCACTGGGAAAGATACAAAAAAATCTCCCAGAATTAGAGATAGTAGGAACTGCCGATGCTGGAGAATCTGAGATAACAAGGTGTAGAGCTGGATGAAATTTCTGAAGAGGGGTCTAGACTCGAAACGTCAGCTTTCCTGCTCCTCTGATGCTGCTTGGCCTGCTGTGTTCATCCAACTCTACACCTTGTTATCTCAGATTCTCCAGCATCGGCAGTTCCTACTATCTCTGTAGGAATAAATGAGTCATTCTCACATTGACAGACTGTAAATAGTGAGGTAACACAGGGATCAGTACATGAGCCCCAGCTGTCCCAATATATATCAATGATTTGGAAATGGGGACCAAATGTAATATTTCCAAATTTGCAGATGATACAAGAGCTAACAAGTAATGTGTATTGTGAGGAAGATGTAAATCATTTTCATGAGGATTTTCACATGCTTAGTGATTGGACAAGAACATGGTAAATGGAATATAATGTGGGAAAATGTAACGTTATCCGCTTTAGTAGGAAGAACAAATATGCAGAGTATTTATTAACAGTGAGAAGTTGGCAAGTGTGATAAAGGGCCTTGTCAATAAGTCACTGAAGGCTAAAATGCAGAAGCAGCAAGCCACTAGAAAGGCTGATAGAATGTTGGCCTTTATTGTGAGTGGATTTGAGTTCAACAGTTGTTTCGTCTTCCTATAATCTTGTATAGGAGTTTGGTTAGACCACAGCAGAAATAGTGTGTGCAGATTTGGTCTTCTGATCTCAGGGAAGATGTTATTACCAAAGAGGGAATGTAACAAAGCTTCACCAGATGTTCCTGGGACGGTGTGACAGTCCTATTAAAAAGAGATTGGCAAACTAGAATTGTATTTTGTAGAATTCAGTATTCTCTAGAATTTTGGAAGAATGAGATGATATCGTTGAAACCTACAAAATACCTTCAAAGACAGGTAGGGCAGAGGCAGATACTTGCCCCAGCTGGAGAGTATAGAACTGAGGGACGCAATGTAAAAATAAGGGGGTGCCAATTAGGATGCCCTTTGAAATTTCAATCTCAGAGGGAGTGAAAGATTAGTCTTTGAGTATATTAAGTAGAGATTGTTAAATCTTTATTAATGATGTAAAGGTTTATAAGGATAGTGTGGGTGAAAGACAATTAAGTGTTCAATCAGCCAGAATCCTATTAAATTGTAAAATATGCTTGATGGGCTGAATGGCCAATTCCTAAGACAGTTGAGGTGTAGACAAAGAGGAAGCCATTGAGAGAACTTGGGCTTCCTTTTTAATTCAATAAAATCTGAACAATATCTCGAGATTTCAGTTGCTTACTTCAGCTCTTTCAAGCCAGACCTGGAGACAGGGGTCACTGGGCCTGAAACGTTAGCTCTGATTTCTCTGCACAGATGCTGCCAGACCTGCTGAGCTTTTCCAGCAACTTCTGTTTTTGTTTGCGGAGACAGGGACTGTTTGAGTTTTTCAACCTTTTCTTTGTTCATGATAACGAGTGTATATAGGTACTTGCTACACCATGCTTTGAATTTTACATTGTCCTTACTCTACTTAATTTTCACCGATTATATAAGGGGAAGGGGGGGGGGGGATGGTGTCAATGGCGCTGGAGCTGATTTGATGGGCCTTGAATCATCGTATGTATTTCATACTGTAGCTGTTCAGGACACCGTCATCCACAGTCTCTTCTAGAAGGGTCCCGAACCGAGACATCAGCTTTCCTGCTCCTCTGATGCTGCCTGGCATGCTGTGTTCCTCCAGCTCCACACTGTGTTATCTCTGACTCCAGCATCTGCAGTTCTTACTATCTCTTCTAGAATGACCTTGTGCTTATTTGCTTGTTTCATTATTACTGTCTTTAGTAGTACACCATGGAGGACAGTAAGACAGAGGGACGGGAAATGGTGAAATCCTGTAAGAGGAAGTTGGGGATGAACCAGCAATGAAGAAATCCCCACAGTCTGCGGACGGTGAAAAGGCTTAAACCTCTCATTGGCTGCTTAGATGTCTATATGTAATTGGCCGCCTGCCATAACAGCGAGCTGTAATTGGCCTACTCTCTGACGAATCCGAGTAGAGGCGGCGCTCCCCGATGTGGAATGGACCATCCTTGTAAGGGGGCTTCCATTGGCTGTTCGGCCCGTTCCGGAAGCCCGGAAGTCGCTGCGATTGGCTGCGGCGTTGCCTATCGCCGCCTGATTGGCTGGTAACTGCCGCCCACCCCAACGGGCGGAGGCCTAGCCGGCTGCCTATTGGCCAGCGGGCAGCGGACGGCGGCGTGACCTCAGGCAGCGGCGCGCTGGATTGGTCGGTGCCGAGCGTGAGGCCGAGCGAAGACCTCCACCCTCCCACTCCACTCCCTGTCCCCGCCCCGTCACTCCGCCTTTGCCCTATAAAGCGCCGGCCGCTCACCTACTCCCACCATGGCAGATTGCGACTTGACAGCCAAGCGGCAGAAAATGGCGTCTGTGCTCGATCAGCTGAAGGAGTTCACAGTGGTGGTAGCGGACACTGGGGATTTCAACGGTGAGGGGCGGGTTTCTCCATGGCAACAATTGGGGAGGGTGGTCTCCATGGTAACGGGGTGGGGGGAATGTCTCTGAGCCTCTTGGGTTTTTTTTCCCCCCCAGGTACTGGTTACTCTCGGGGTTTAATTGGATTTAATCTGTCCCCAAACCCTGCTGTTTCTTGCCTAAGGATGCATTAAGGGCCGGCGTCTCTCCGGGGCTGCCCTCCCTTCCCATCCCCTTCACTGTCCGGCCTCGGGCATTCCTCCTGAATCCAGGCTCGGCCTACCTCTCCAGCCCCGCCGCCGAACCTGCTTCCCTGGTATCCAGTCTTGGATCAGCTGCGATTCCCTTCAGACGGTTGTGGATCGGCCGGTAAACACTCGGCCTCTGAGTCCTGTTCTCTCCGCTCTAGGGAGCCGCGCACACGCACACAAAATCAGGGGTGACATTGTAGCGCTGTGCTGAAAGTGTCCTGCAGTTTTCAAAACTTTTATTTTTTTTCCCCCTGTGTTCGGCTGAAAGATGCCCTTTCAGTTGAATGTTAAGAATCCTATGGCATTAGTTTGAAGCAGAGCTGGGGAGTTATCCTCTGTTCGCCCATGGTTACCCTCCAATGAACATCACTACTCGTAGAGATTGCAAACTGGCTGCTGCTTTTCCAACATTGTAACAGTGACTATACATCAAAAGTCATGTCTAACAAATCTCTTGGAGTGTTTGAAGAGGTCGCCAAGAGGATGGATGAGGGTAGGGCAGTGGATGTTCTCTATCTGGACTTTAGTAAGGCCTTTAAGGTCCTGCACAGCAGGCTAGTCATGAAGGTTAGGTTGCATGGGACCCAGGGAGAGCGAGCCATTTGGATTCAAAATTAGCTCAATGGTAGGAAGCAGAGGGTGATGGTTAAAGGTTGTTTCTCGGCCTGGAGACCCTTGACTCGTGCTGGACCACAGGGGCCAGTGCTGGGACCTTTGCTATTTGTTATTTACATAAATTATCTTGACGTGCATGTACAAGGCATGATTAATAATTTTGCAGGTGATGCAAAATTAGGTATTGTTTAATAGTGAAAAAGGTTGTCAAAAATTACAGGGAATTGTGATCAGACTGTGAAGTGGGCTGAGGTTTGGTAAATGCAATTCAATACAAATAAGTGTGAGATGTTGCTCTTTGGAAAGTCAAACCAAGATAGGACTTGTACTGTAAATGGTAAGATCCTGAGGAGTGTTATGGAACAGAGGGACCTAGGAGTCCATGTACGTAGTTCGTTGAAAGCAGTGTCACAGGTAGACAGAGTGATGAAAAAGACATTTAGCATGCTGGCCTTCAGTCGAGGCACTGACTACAGGAGTTGAGACATGATCTCACAGTTGTATCAGTTGTTGGTGAGGCTGCACTTGGAGTATTGTGTACAGTTTTTGTCACCCTCTTATAGAAAATACATAGTTAAACTGGAAAGTGTGCAAAGAAGATTTACAAGGATGTTGCCAGGACTAGTAGGCCTGAGTTATAGGGAGAGGTTGGCCTGTTTAGGACTTTATTCCTTGGAGCTTAAGAGAATGAGGGGTGACCTTTATTGAGGTGAATAAAATCATGAGGGGCATAGATAGAATGAATGCATATAGTCTTTTTCCCAGGGAAGGGGCATTGAAAACTAGAAGGCATGGGTTTAAGGGGTGAGGGGAAAGATGTAAGAAGGACCTGAGGGGTAACTTCTACAGAGTGGTGCATATATGGAATGGTCTGCCAGAGATAGTGGTTGAGGCAGGTACCATAGCAACATTTTAAGAAACACTTGGATAGGTACATGGATGAGAAGGGTTTAGAAGAATCTAGACCAAATGCGGCCAATTGGAGCTAGCTGAGTGGGCACCAGGGTCCTTGGTCCAGGAACTCCCTACCTATGTCCATGACACCACCCACGCCCTCCACCTCCTCCAGAACTTCCAATTCCCCGGTCCCCAACATCTCATCTTTACCATGGACATCCAGTCCCTCTACACCTGCATTCCCCATGCAGATGGCCTTAAGGCCCTCCGCTTCTTCCTGTCCCGCAGGCCCGACCAGTTCCCCCTCCACTGACACCCTCGTCCGCTTAGCCAAACTCGTCCTCACCCTCAACATCTTCTCTTTCAATCCCTCCCACTTCCTACAGACAAAGGGGGTGGCCATGGGTACCCGCATGGGCCCAAGCTGTGCCTGCCTCTTTGTAGGATACGTGGAACAATCCCTCTTCCGTACCTACACTGGCCCTAAACCCCACCTCTTCCTCCGTTACATTGATGACTGTATCGGCGCCACCTCGTGCTCCCACGAGGAGCTCGAACAGTTCATCCACTTCACCAACACCTTCCACCCCAACCTTAAGTT